TTTTTACCACCTTGCGCAGAAAGGAATTATGACCTCGGCTATGTAACAGGCCTACGATTTGAATTTAGCTCAGAGGCTTCTTGAGGATCCTTTACCTTCACTAAATCTACAACATTGAACAGCCGGCTTTACTTCCTTTTCCGAAGGAGGGAGTACGAAGGATCGTTTGGGCATTGAATGGCTTCGGCCGGGTTTGAGCCCGATACGCTCACCGAAGCCGCAGGGGAAAACTTGGGGTGGTGATGTAGGATTTGATGAAGCATTGGTTGGTGGAAAGTTGATTCGTCCCCCTCCTCTACCATCCTTTATGTAAGCCTTACATTATAATGAGTTGGACAGACCCTAACGCCACAAAACTGGTATCTGAAGCCCATTGGCTGACGTCGAATGCGATGCGCAATAGCTCACCTATCTCTTTCCGCCATGAGTGATATAAGGTCGAGCCTCCTATCACTTCGACTTCGATTTCGAGTTGGTGCACGTGCAGAGATTCAAAACTGCAGTCGATTTTCGTACATTATACCACGTCAAAATAGAAGGGAGAAAATAGTTTGTGCATGCCGTAGCGGACAGCACTGTCCATCTTCTGAGCATGCGCAGATTCACAAAAGTTTTGCGAAATTGGAACTGCGCATGCGCAGAAGATCGATAATGCTTTATCGTTCGAGTGCAATCTCGATCTTCTGCGCATGCGCAGAGGAACAAAAGATGTGCAGCATACTACGCATGCGCAGAAAATCGATAGTATTTTCGATTGCATTAACGTACGAGGATGCACAAACTGTCTATTACAGTAAGATTTATTTAGTCGTGCACTTGACGTATTACAGCTGTTTCGGTTTCATCCAATCGGGAGCTTATGTGTCGCTCACTGAGGTCACTGAAGCGACATACAAGCTTCTGTGCACGTAAGCTTCCGCGGCTCGATTCCATAAATTATACATTTGCCATCCATCTGCCCTGAGGAAGCCTGCGACATGTCAGGCGCAAAATGTCGGCCTCCCAGCCAACGACGCGGCGTCTCCCGGATAGCCAAGAATTTATGGATTCTAGCCTCGGAAGCTTACGTGTGCAACAACTTAACTCGTCAAGGCGTGCCAAAGAGAAATACTACGATTAGCTTGAAAGCACGAAGTAGTTGTTGCTAGCATTGTTTTTAAATTGGTACGAGCCGTTCCGAGTCGAAGCTAAGTATCCTCAGGGCGGTCATTGCCCTGAGGAAGCCCTGCAGTCACTGCCCTGAGGAAGCCTGCGACATGTCAGGCGAAACGTCGGCCTCCCAGCCAACGACGCGGCGTCTCCCGGATAGCCGAGAATTTATCGATATGGCCAAAGCTTCTCACGAGAAAAACGATTGGCTTGGAAGTACGAGGTAGTTGTTGCCAGCACTATTAATAAATTGGAACGTGCCGTTCCGTGTCGAACCTAAGTATCCTCAGGGCGGTCACTGCCCTGAGGAAGCCTGCGACAGGTCAGGCGAATATGTCGACCTATCAGCCAACGAAGCGGCGTCTCCCGGATAGCCCAGAATTTATATATCTTCCTCATTGGATGAAACCGTGAACAGCTGATTTACGTCAAGCGCACGGTTAAACAAATCCTAGCATACACACATAGCCGCTGTCGCAAATCTTGCTTTCGCGCCAACTCGAAGACGTCCTCGCCGTCCTCACCGGAGCTGCGCGCACGGGCGGCGGCAGTTTCCGCTGCGAACCGGAAGCCGCCCGGACGAGCGTGCTGACACGCGAAAAAGGCAGAGAGCGCGCGCGCGCACACACGCAGGGCGGCGACGCGACGCGACGCGACGCGACGCGGGACTCAGCGGCTCCCACGGGGACTCGGCACGCCGTCGGTGGCACCGGCTGGGACTGCCTAGGGCCTGGGCCACGGTGGAAAGAGACGGGTGAGCCAGGGGCGTAGCGTAGCGGGGGCGGCAAAATTTTACAATAATAATAATATTACTAATAATAACAATGATGATAATGATAATAATATTAATAATAATATTAATGATAACAATAATAATAATAATGGTAATTATAATAATAATAATAATAATAATAATAATAATAATAATAATAATAATAATGCCTAGCCTTCGCTGATGACCTCGCGATGCTTTCCAAGAAAACGAGAAACGTTTGATCGCACATTATAGAAACTATGTTGCATTGAAAAATGAGCAACAGACTAGATATCGTAGTCCTCTCGAAAAAATAGTCACCCATCCTCCACTTCTCAGCATCTCGCATCAAGTGAAGTAAGGGCTCAAGAAAACGTTCGCGGATAATACCAACATTCGAAAAACGTTCAAAAGAGCAAATCTGATGCTCAAAGCACCATTAAAAAAACAATATTTCACGTCTCTTCAACAAGTCTTTTTCACGTCTCTTCCGGGCATTGAGAGTAAACTTCCGATACGTTTTGTCTCTCGTCTCGTAACGTCGCAATCAGTCATCCCGTCAGCCAGGGGTTCGGCACCGTTAGTAACAGGCGTTCCCAGACGGCCACCCATCCAGGAATCCGTGGTGTCTCCGTACATTCACCGATTTGTGGCCATGAATTCGGTTTTCCCGAAAAAGAAAAATTGATAGTCCAACTTTCTCGGGCTCATTATTTCAGACTTCCCCAAATCTGATGGCATTGATGTTTGTTCTATACTCGGAAAAGAAATCGCCGAGATCATCAGCGCAAGCCTAGGCATTATTATTATTATTATTTAATTATTATTTATTATTATTATTATTATTATTATTTATTAGTATTATTATTATTATATTTTATTATTATTATTATTATTATTTATTATCATACCATCAATTATCATTATTATTATGATTGTATATTTATTATTAATTATAATTATTGTAAAAGTTTTGCCGCTTGGGGCGGCGCCGTTCCGCCGCCCCCGCTTACACTACGCCCCTGGCTCACCCGCTCTCTTTCCACCGTGGCCCAGGGCCCTAGGCAGTCCCAGCCGTGCCACCGACGGTCGACCGTTCCGAGTTCCCCGTGGGAGCCGGCTGAGTCCCCGCGTTCGCGTCGCGTCGCGTCGCCGTCGCCGCCCTGCGTGTGTGCGCGCGCGCCGCTCTCTGCCTTTTCGCGTGTCAGCACGCTTCGTCCGGCGCGGCTTCCGGTTTCGCAGCGCGAAACGGCCGCCGCCCGTTGCGCGCAGCTCCAGGTGAGGCGGCCGGGACGTACTTCGAGTCTGGCGCCCGAAAGCAAGATTTGCCGACAGCGGCTTTTGTGTTTGCTAGGATTTGTTTAACCGTGCGCTTGACGAAATCAGCTGTTCACCGTTTCATTCAATGAGGAATGATATTATTAAATTCTTGGCTACTCCGGGAGACGCCGCCTGCGTTGGCTGATAGGTCGACATATTCGCCTGACCTGTCTCAGGCTTCCTCAGGGCAAGTGACCGCCCCTGCAGGATACTTAGGTTCGACACGGAACGGCACGTTACAATTTATTATAGTGCTTGGCAAACAACTACCTCGTACTTCCAAGCCCAAATCGTTTTCTCGGTTGAGAAGCTTTATGGCCATATCGATAAATTCTCGCGCCTATCCGGGGAGACGCGCGGTCGTTGGCTGGGAGGCCGACGTTTCGCCTGACATGTACGGCAGGCTTTCCTCAGGGCAGTGACTGCAGGCTTCCTCAGGGCAATGACGCCCTGAGGATACTTAGCTTTCGACTCGGAACGGCTCGTACCAATTTAAAAACAATGCCCTAAGCAACAACTACTTTCGTGCTTCAAGCAATCGTAGGTATTTCTCTTTTGGCACGCCTTGACGAGTTTAAGTTGTTGCACACGTAAGCATTCCGAGGCTAGCAATCCATAAATTCTTGGCTTATCCGGGAGACGCCGCGTCTTGGCTGGGAGGCGACATTTTGCGCCTGACATTTCGCAGGCTTCCTCAGGCAGATGGATGGCCAAATGTATTAATTTATGGAATCGAGCCGCGGAAAGCTACGTGCACAGAAGCTGGTATGTCCGCTTCAGTGACCTCAGTGGCGACACATAAAGCTCCCGATGATGAAACCGAAAAGCTGCTAATACGTTCAAGTGCCACGACTAAATAAATCTTACTGTAATAGACAGTTTGTGCATCCTCGTAACGTTAATGCAATCAAAATACTATCGATTTTCTGCGCATGCGTTATGCTGCACATCTTTTGTTCCTGCTGCGCATGCCAAGAAGATCGAGATTGACACTCGAACCGATAAAGGCATTATCGAATCTTCTGCGCATGCGCAGTTTCCAATTTCGCAAAACTTTTGGTGAACTGCGCCATGCTCAGGAAGAGGGACAGTGCGGTCCGCTACGGGCATGCACAAACTATTTCTCCCTTCTATTTTGGACGTGGTATAATGCTTACGAAAAGTTCGACCTGCAGTGTTGAAATCTCTGCACGTGCCACCATCTCGCAAATCCGAAGTCGAAGTGATAGGAGGCTCCGACCTTATATCAACTCAATGGCGGAAAAAAGATAGAGTTGAGCTATTGCGCATCGCATCTACGTCAGCCAATGGGCTTCAGATACAGTGTGGCGTTAGGGTCTGTCCACTCATTATATGTAAGGCTTCCAAAAGGATGTAGAGGAGGGGACGAATCAACTTTTCCACCACACCAATGCTTCCATCCAAATCCTACCAATTCACCACCCCAAGTTCCCCTGCGCTTCGGTGAGCGTAATCGGGCTCAAAAACCCGGCCGGAAGCCATTCAATGGCCCAAAACGCATCCTTCGTACCCCTCCTTCGGAAAAGGAAGTAAAGCCGGCTGTTCAATGTTGTAGATTTAGTGAAGGTAAAGGATTCCTCAAAAAGCCTCTGCACTAAATTCAAATCGTAGCGCCTGTCATAGCCGATGTCATTAAATTCCTTTCTGCGCAAGTGGTAAAAGAGATGTGTAGCCGAAAATTGGCTGTTGTCAGAGGGAAGAGGGGGTCTTGATGACCCCCAGAGTCTTGGAAATTAGTTCATAAACTGAACTGACCTCCGAAACTGACCCCGTAACTGACTTGAACTGACCCGAACAGACCCGACTTGGTTGACCCGAACACCGAACTGACCCGAACATGAACCCGAACTGAACCGCAACGAACCGAACCGAGACCGAAACTCGAAACCCGAACGCGAATCCCGAACTTGAACTTGAACTGAACTGAAACTGAACGAACCTTTGAAACTGGAACTGAACTGAACTGAACTGAACTGAACTCCAACGTATATTCGTCCATATACAGACACCTCACTTTGTCTATAGCGACAAGGTTCCTCACTTATCACCAGCTGCAACTTCGGGACGTCCATTCACAACCAAGCTCATCCGGGAGTCGCGGGCGTGATTTGTTCCGCGTTTGGGCGTGCGGCGTTGCGGCGCCCTGGGCGTAAGGCGAAAGCGATCCCTGGCGGCTGCGCCTGCCGGCGCGTAGGCCTTCCATTCCTTCGCCGAGGGCTCCCAGGGCCTCGTCATTAGCACCCGGCGCGGGATGCAACTTTGCTGTGGAGCGGACGCCGGCGGGCCCCGCCCCCCGCCCCTGTCCACGCCCCTTTCTTCCGGACTCGCCAGTCTCCGCCCCGCCCCGCTCCCCGCCCCCGCTCCGCTCCCCGCCCCGCCGCCGCCTCCCTGCCCTGCTCCCCGCCCTGCTCCCCGCCCCGCTCCCCGACTGCTCCCGCTTCCGCTCCCCGCCTCGCTCCCCGCCCCGCTCCCCGCCCTGCTCCCCGCCCCCGCTCCCGCCCTTGCTTCCCCGCCCTGCCCCCGCCCTGATACCTCCGCCCTTAAGCGTCTCCGCCCCACCTCGCTTTATGTCTGCGTCTCCCAACCCAGCCCCGCCCCCGCCTCTCCCAGTCCTTTGATCCGGTCTCCCAGTCTCTGCCCCGCCGTGTCTCTCCGCTCCGCCCTCGCTTTCCTGTGCTCGCCCCCACCCAGCCCCCCTCGCCTTCTCCCAGTCCCTTTGATCTGGACCTGCCTGTCTTCCGCCCCGCCTCGCTGTTCCCCGCTCCCGCAGCGCCCTTCTTCCGCCCCGATCCGGCACCGCCCACACAATTCCCCACTCCGCCCGCCTTTCTTTCCACTCCCCCTTAAACCCTCGGCCTCGCCAGTGTATGCAGAGTGTCCGGCCCCTACCCCGTTCCGCAACACCCATCTCGCCCAGCCCTCACTCCTTCACCATTTCTGGCCGCGCCTCCCACCACCCGCGCCGCCCCCTCTCATCGCGAAGCCACCCCGCCCTCTTTCGTGCTCGTCCCCGTTGCGTCTCGCCCTCTCTTCGCGCCCGCACCCCACTCCTCTTCCGCCCTCATCGCCTGTTTTGCACTTCCTCGCCGTCCACCTTAACCCTGTCCGCCCCACCTCGCGTTTTTCTCCGCTCTACCTCGCCCTTCCAAACCCTTCAATTCGGAACTCGCCTGTCTCTGCCCCGCCAGTGCTCCCCAGCACTACATTTACGGACTAAATACCATAGTAGTATATGCGACCCGGCATTTCACTAACAATCATTCCAATTAAACTATCGCACCTCTCTCCTCCCACGCACTATTTAATCGCCCCGCATCGGCCTTTCTCATCTTCGCCCCGCCCCTCAAACTCCCACGTCCCGCCTTCTCTCTTCCGTGCTCCCTGCCGGCCCCGCTCTGCTCCTCCTCCCACTTCCTCCCGCTCCATCTCGCTGTCCTCAATTTCCTCTCACAGGAGGAGATGGCTCAGTGGTATCAAGTGATGTCAATGCATTCCCTCTGACTGCGGAAAATCCTAGTGGATTCCACTCCTGCACGGGTGGCAGGACAGGCCGACTGTAGGTGGGCCCGGATCTCGCCGTTCAGCGCAATATGACCTCCGCCACGCACCCGAGGGCAAAAAACAGCACACACTTACGGGAATAATGACCCTGGGATACACGATCTTGGTTGTCCGGGGTAACGCCGCGTCGAAGGCTGGTGTCGAACACAGCCTTCGACGCGGCCTCGTCACCCCGGACAGCCCCAAGATCACGCCACATGGACTCTGGCCGCGGAAAGCCTACATCTTCATCTAATGGAGACCCTAGTAGTTGCATGCGCCCGGAATCACTACAATTCATTCAATTAAAATCAATCCATCTTTTTTTTATTTATTTATTTGATTGTTTAGTTAATAGTTCCAGTTTAATAACTCTTACATATGTATTGATGACTTATAATTTAACTTAGCTAAACTTATCCCTAAACTTAATACTATTACCCAGAGGTTGAGGAAACCCTAAGGGCACCTCATAAGAAAAACGTATTCCAGCAGATTCCTGAGAACAATTTACCAAAATATATGGGAATGGGTATTTTATTTTGATACGAGTGGGAATGGATGGGGTTTTTGCCACAAGATTGAATGAAGATAAAGGTTTGGATATGGTGTTGTATTTGAGAAGAAATTGTGTGGGATAGTGTGATGTGTGCATGATGGGATCCCCGAGGTTGAATTCATTATGTAATTGATGATTTAGATATGAACAAGGGTGATTAGTGATTGTACCGGAGGAATTGGTCGTTATTATTTGAATTTTGTTGTATCGTTTTGTTTTTGCAGCATTGATCCATTACTGGGCAGGCCGTAAGAAGAGTAGGTCTGATTATTGTTTTGAATAAAGTTATGCTGCTGTTTTTGTATGGGAGGTAATTTTTCCTGTTTTATTAGAGTTTTTTTAATTTGATGCAATATGTTTTTGCGTTTGTATTATTTGATGGTACTATGTGCTGTTTCCAGTTCAATTTTGAGTAGTCATGTGCAGATCCAAGATATTTTATGGCGTTTATTTGGAGGGATACCATGGGATGGGCTCATTATTTTAAAGTCGAGTGGGGAACGAGAGCGGTTGGTGAAGTGTTATGGTTGGGCTGTAAAGAAGAATTGTGATTAATTGTTAGCGCGGTGCCCGAGCGAGTGTTTGATGTTCCCCCGATACCGGGCACCGAAGTTGGGCCTTTTCCCAATGGGGTGGTTATTTAAAAATTAATTTTGGTGTGGGATGATGAAGAAGAGAGGGAAGGAAATGTTGACCAACTGTTTCTATTTGGTTGTATCCACCGGACTACAGTTCCAGACCAGTGCCTGTTATGTAATGAGTAGCTCTTTTTAATACTGAATGTAAAAGAGAGAACAACGCAGTGGTAACTGCGAGGAGCCAAGCAAAATAAACGAGAACAAGAAGGTGTGCCCTCCACTCCTGCAAATTAGTTGCGCGGAATTTTTTACTGTTCTTCATTCAATATGGGGATGTCTGCTACATAGAAGATTAAACCACGTAACTCGTTTGTGCGAGGCCTGATAGGGGGGAACCTTTGAACGGCCGGACGAAGGTGGTGCAATCCAGCGCCTGCTGTGAGAGTTAATCGGCGGCACATCGCTGCGGGTCTTCGAGCCCTTGATAAATTGGTTGCATTATGTTGAACTGCAATTAAGGGTTCTGTAGTGGTCATGAAATAGCTTTGAGGTGGCCGCCGAGCACGTAGACTGGAACGCGTCGAGAGTGGGCCGAGGTGCAGGGCCCAGAGAAGGGCAAAGTAGCGACCATGAATGGCTAGGCGAGTGAACATGGGTACCTACCCAGTGTGGTGTTAAATTTTAAATTTAAGTAAAATTAGTGCCTGGAAAAAGAGGTGCCAGGGGCCTGCCAGGGAACACGGGAACTCTATCAAATGCGACCCTGCTCGTAGCGCTAAGCTTGTCGAGACCGCGTAGAGCTACCATGAAGAGGTGATCCGTAAAAAATGGGAATAGTTTTTTCTGCAGGCCAGCATTGCAGTGATGGATAGCGGAAGGCAATCCATGATGATCTTAGTGTTCTACAGGAGTTGAATGGTTGCGCTCCAGCGAGATCGAGTAATATGATCCGTCTCCTGTGCGATCAACAAGTAACGTGAGCTGCTCAATGTGGGAAGAATAGAACTGTGAAGTTGAATCGTGTTGACTAGGGTGCTTTTAAGACGTTGAGTATTACTTTTTCAGGCGGCAGAGAATAAAAAAGATTCTCGAAGAGAGTTCAGCTTAGACATAAACAGTACCGAAGGTAAGTGCACAAAACGCTCGTAGATCGGACGCAGGCGAGAAGAATAGGGCATGTTGAGCGTGCGGAAGATAAATGTTGGCGGAGAACAGCGGTGGCTCCTGACAATGAGGGGCGCTGCACGGAGGGCACCGGGAAAAGATCTATACATATAATACCATTAGGCTCTGTTGTGGCGAAGCAAGCGAGTAAAAGCGTGCATTGCAATGGCATTCTGGACTGTCTCCATTACGATGGATGAGCGAAATAGCCAATGATCTCTGATTCTGCTAAAGGCCCCGAGGAAGCCCGCATCAGAATGTGCTAATATATTGCTGGTAAGCATGACAAGTTCCAGAGGCTGGTAAATGTTTTAGTTATTGAATTAATTGATCACTCTGATTCCACTCACCTCCAGGACTCGCTATCCTGCTTGTTCTGGCCGCCCGGAGGCCC